CTTGGCACTACAGCCCCAGTGGGCCTAGGCCTACCTCCATGATCTCCGTTCACTTCGGTTTTTCTAGATCTTACACATTCGGTAGGACTCCTTGGGCGAGTGATCAGCTCGTCGCAAGGCCTCTACCTGTAGACAAACACAGAAAAACGCACACAAACATCCATGCCCTGAGTGGGATTCGAACCCACGATCCCGGCTGCCGAGCGAGCGAGGACAGTGTACGCCTCAGACTGCTCGGCTACCGTGACCGGCACCCAACGCCACTTTATCCACCACAAATCTCACATATGACGTGACCTGGTATCGAATCTCGGGCGTCGCGGTGGATACTTTGTAAAAGTAAAAGTAAAGCTATCCCTGTAACAGGCCATGAAGGCCCATAGGGTTGTAAGACGTTAAGGGCCCCACATTACCTTGACAATCGGCTCAAAGATAGCGGTAAGATTGTCAGCCTTACGCGCCGGCCGCGCTTCACTCCCCAGGAAAATTATTTAATTAATTCCTGGTACTCTTTCTGTTAGAGACTGCGTGAACCCCAGGGCCTAGTGAGGCCGAGGGGATTACGTCAATTGAAAAAATCCAATGACCTCATCGGGACTTGAACTCGCGACCTTCCGCCTTGTACTGTTCATAAAATATTATTATTAGTTATGAGATCAACGAAGATGAAATGGGGAAATCATGTGGCATCCATGGATCATATGAGAAATTAAAACAAAATTTTAGCTTGGAAATCTGAAGCAAAAATAGCACATAAAAGAACTATGAGTAGGGGATGATATTAAAATTGGTCTTAAGGAAATAATGTATTAACTGGCTTCATCTGTTGTAGGAAAATTTTGTATTGTCAGATTAGCGATTGTAAGGTTCCCAAGGAGTGGTAAGTACAGGTAATTACAATCAAGACAGAAACAAGAATCAGTACTGGGGCGGTATTGGTCAGTGCGCCTAATCCGTTAAGTAGGGGGAGGGTGAGAGGAACAGAGCAATGATTTAGAAGGAGAATAATAAATCCTTCGCGCATGGCAAATGCTAGTTTCATTATAGTAACAGTTATCTGCCTAAGGAGAGGGGTGTTGCAAAATATAAATATTTTATATTCATGAAATTGGACATAGTAAGTTGCCCAGTAACAATATTCATTCATTCATTCATTCATTCATTCATTCATTCATTCATTCATTAATGAATGAATTGTTATACAGCCCTTTATTGGCCGTGACCGCTTTTTCAGTTTCGTAATCCTATACACAGCCGGCAGGACACTTTGGACGGGGTATCAGCTCATCGCAAGGTCGCTACNCCTTTGTTCTCGACATCGGATTGTTAATTACTGACCGTAGTCGCTGTAAATTTCGCTGGGAGATTAGGAATGTCATTTCTGATGTTTTTTCTTGTCATGTCTGTCGTACATATCATGTAAAGGGGGAAACCTGCTATTTTAAATGGCTTAAATTCATGGTGATATGACTTTTCTTTATTGTTAGTGGGGTGGGACTAAGTCCATTGTACTGCGGCCACTTCTGGCCTATTGTACCAGCCCCAGGTGATAGGTGAGGGTGATTGTGGAGCAATTGGTGGAATGAAGATTGGCAAGGGAAACCGAAGTACTGGGAGAACACCTGCCCCAGCTCCACTTTGTCCACCACATATCCCACTTGATCAGACCCGGGATCGAACCCGGGCCCCCGCGGTGGGAAGCCAGCGACTAACTGCTTGATCTATGGCGCGGCCCTTGTGATATGACTTATGGAGAGCTAAGAACGGGCGATCTTGCAGCTCTTTGATTCGGTGGGCGTATTAGCAGCTACTCAGTGTAAACAAAATTGAGCGTTACGCAGTGTTACACAGGGCCTCGGGCGAGCCCTTGTGTGAATTGCAATGAACTTCCATTTTCTGTAAAGGGTTAGAAATGTTTCAACCAGCAAAGCGACAATTAGCTTGTCAAGAACTCTGCTTCATTGAGATAAATCTAAACCAATGAAATTAGGGGCACAAATAATTCACAATGAAAGTAATTTATTAACAATGCTACTTCAAGCGTACAGTAAACTTCATTCAAGGAAAGTATTAATAATGGGTAACCCTTTACAGTTTCACCATGAATACATTCTCCGATGGCACAAGCAGTAACGCTCTATATTACAGTGAGAATTAAGATTTTCGCGGCTGTGACAAAGTTATGCACTCTGGTCTAGATGTGCCGCCGTGTAGTCTGGTATAAGTTTACCGACGTTCCTCTTCTGTATGTTTCCATATGAGACCTGTGCATGAATACCGGAAGTTTGTTCAAAATAGAATCTAGCAACAATGTACAGTGATGTAACGGTCTGCAATTCTGTCAGATGACACACATCCCAAGCTCTTTTAGATGGATTTTACCTTAAATTCGGGGAAGAGTGAGATGGTATTGGAAAGATAAATATTTTACGTTGGGTTTCTCATGGCAGTAAATCCTTCCAAATTATTAATCACCTAACGTGATGATGGCTTCGGGTATCTTGCGGTTGTGATGATGGCTTCGGGTATCTTGCGGTTGTGATGATGGCTTCGGGTATCCTGCGGTTGTGATGATAGCTTCGGGTATCTTGCGGTTGTGGGCTTCGGGTATCTTGCGGTTGTGATGATGGCTTCGGGTATCTTGCGGTTGTGATGATGGCTTCGGGTATCCTGCGGTTGTGATGATAGCTTCGGGTATCTTGCGGTTGTGGGCTTCGGGTATCTTGCGGTTGTGATGATGGCTTCGGGTATCTTGCGGTTGTGATGATGGCTTCGGGTATCCTGCGGTTGTGATGATAGCTTCGGGTATCTTGCGGTTGTGGGCTTCGGGTATCTTGCGGTTGTGATGATGGCTTCGGGTATCTTGCGGTTGTGATGATGGCTTCGGGTATCCTGCGGTTGTGATGATAGCTTCGGGTATCTTGCGGTTGTGGGCTTCGGGTATCTTGCGGTTGTGATGATGGCTTCGGGTATCTTGCGGTTGTGATGATGGCTTCGGGTATCCTGCGGTTGTGATGATAGCTTCGGGTATCTTGCGGTTGTGGGCTTCGGGTATCTTGCGGTTGTGATGATGGCTTCGGGTATCTTGCGGTTGTGATGATGGCTTCGGGTATCCTGCGGTTGTGATGATAGCTTCGGGTATCTTGCGGTTGTGGGCTTCGGGTATCTTGCGGTTGTGATGATGGCTTCGGGTATCTTGCGGTTCTCAGAATTTTCGTCATATGATATGCTGCATATTATATATACACTTGCCAGAGTACGCACACTTTACTCGTATATCCTGAAGAACCAGTTTGTAAGGTATATAAAACATTTCTGAAACAGGAATGTAATCCTCTTGTAGAGTCAAGCGTTGCTTTTGGGAACAGATTGTACAGGAGCAACAGGCAGTCCAGAATGAATGTGACGGGCTCCATCTTGTTGTCATTACTGATTGTTCTTGCGATTATACAGCAGGTTGAATGAAAGAGAGAGAAAGACTGAGAGTTACATTGTTCGGAAATATAACTCACTTAAGTTGTTATGGACACATCAAGATGTCTTGATCATTCCTTGTTGCACTACTTAAAGATGTATTCACTTGCTACTTTTAAGTCTGTGTTTTACGATGTGAATTTCTATCTACTATCATGAGATTGTCTATTTATATTGCACCGCCCACTCTGTCACTGGCCAAAAGTTACAGATTTTTTCTTCATTTTGTCTCATTCAGTACTCAGTTCGTCTCCAAACACTATGTATTCTTCGCACAAACACACAGGAGTGGTTCGTGTCCGCCTAAAACACATAAATGGGTTTGGGGTCGACTCAGCTTCTGTAAGAAATGAGTACCAGAAATCTTCCTGGGGGTAAAGAGCGGCTGGCGCATAATACCAACAACCTCACCGCCATCTGTGAGCCCATTATCTAGAAAATGTGGGATCTTCGATGTCTCGAATTTATGGGCCTCCATGGCCTGTTACAGGGATAACGTTACCTTTCTTTTTTACCATAAATGGATTTTGACTTCGAATCGAACTGGGTTATCTACACCAAAAGTTTTCTGCCAAATTTAATATTGGTTTGTAATGGTCAAACATAACCCTAACTTCACGAAAATTCAGGTTGAAATTTTTCTGATCAAAACTACACACCTTACAGATAACTGTTACAGTCACAAAATTTAAGATATAAAGTAATATTACGTTAACGCCTCAAACAAGTTCATAGTTTTGGAATACTTGACTGATAGTGTAGCATAAATATGGCTTGGAAGAGTACTAGAACGAACACAAAAACTTCAAAGAAAGAAATCCTGGATTCTTAAGTGTCAGAGTAACAAACACCAAGGTTTGATGAAGGCTGTTCATGCTTACTGGACCAAATACGAGTAAAAGAGGCTGGACTGGAATGGCTGCAGAATACAAGGATAATGAAGATAATATAAATATGAATACTGTAAGACGGGTCACTACTATAATTTTCGGGAAAAATAAGGGAACTTGTGAGAGAAAAATTAACAGGTTTAAAAAAGTTGAAACAAAAGTGTTACAAAAATCAGAAGAACCATAAAAGGCTATTCTTGAACGTGCCAAGAACATTTTGTATGTCGAAAACTACTTGAGTCAGATATTACACGTAGGCCTAAATATGTTTATATTAGGCAGCCTGAAATGAATAGCATCGAATCATTTGCATATAGGCCAAATTCTGGCTTCTTTGAGGAAGGAAATACTCTGAAAATTTGTAGAGCAAAATCCGTTGGGTCTTGATCAAATTTTGACAGAAAATTTCAAGCAGGGCAGCTTTACCTTCTGAGATCCAAAGTAGCGGAAGGTGTTGTTACTGCAGCTGTTCAAAGCAATGCTGAAATGGGCGACAAAATTAATATATTAATTATCGATAAATATCGATCTTATCGGCGTCATGAAGAAACTAAATTACTACTACTGATTCCGAAGCAACAGCTAATCTACTGATCAAGTACATTCATCAGATTCTGTACAAAAACGGGAGTAGAACGAGACAGCTGAGCAGGTATTTAGACCTATATAGCTGTAATGGCCTACACTAACGGGACAGGCAGTCTGAAGCCACCTGCTCACACTGGTTCCTCCCTCGCGGGTTTTTATACCCTGAAGATGGAGGCGATACGTTCCTCCGAAACGTCCGTTCACACAAGATATACATAGCGCTACATCCCAGAATACGGCATTCTTAACTATTGATTTATTTAAAGATGCTGTAGCAAGTGCCTAAATTTAGGTACCACTGCCAGATGAGGACCGACCTCGGTGACAGAAAGGGACTAATTATCAGATACCATTGCCAGTAGAGGGCCGACCTCGCTGGCAGAAAGGGGCTGATAACGGGCACCAGTACCGGTAGGGTATGGAGACAGTAGAAATTAAAGGGGGATGCACAATGGACCAATAACTGGCCTAAGTGCATGGGGAAACCCACCTCCTCCAACAGTGAATGAATGAATGAATGAATGAAGTGCCTAAATTACGTATATAGCGTCGAATGCGATATCCGAATGATGAATTGGAGCTGTATGGAAGCAAGTGAAGCGGTCACGGCTTTTCCTTAAGACAACTGCTCTGAATCTGCATAGAGAGACTGAGGAAAACCACTGAAATGCCGAGTTTGGACAGCCGGTCTCTGAAGTGAGATTTGAATCTGAGACTTTCAGAAGTAATAGGCTTGAAAATCACTCAGCGGTGACGATCGGTTTTTGTTCATATACTTTATTACCAGTTCATTTGGCCTTTTAATTCAATTACAATGCTCTTATTATATTCAGTTCTGTTTTATTACTTTGCCCACTTTTTATGCTTATCATATTCGTGCAGCCTTACAGCCCTTGGTATGTTTATTTATCTGATGTGTCACTTGTTCATAAGAAGTTCACACCGTAAGCTTACCTCGCAGACAAGATTAACAGACTTAAGTGACCAATAATTTATCTTGTGTTCGTGGATAGCAATGTCCATAAACCGACAGCAATGGGTTATAAGTGCCCCAAGGGGGTATATAAGGAAAAAAAAAATAAAAGTAACAGAAATTCACGAAAGAAATAAACACTGAAGGACTGCTTACCTATAACTTCCCACATGATTAACGTTCACCTCTCGGCAGTAGCTTCTTTGGGATATTCATTACGCATGCGCCGGAGAAGCTACATAATCCGTAGGTAGTTGAAAACAGGTTTGAAACTGGGGCCAGACAGGGGTTGGTATGACTGCTTTCTTCGGAGCGCAAAAGATAAAGTAGAAAAGGAGACGAAATGGGGGGGGGAGAGAGAAAGCAAGACAGAAAGTAACAGAAGTTCTGGGAAGGACTTATCGTCTACCTTTCTTTGATAAGACATGGACCGCATAGAAAACGACTCGTTCGTTAATTCTTCTATTGTTGCGCGTGTGAAAGCGTTCAGTTGGAAAATAAAAAATCTGGTCGTGGGTCTCAAGGGGCTTGTCACCAAGACGAAATAATTGGCGGTAATCCGCCAGTCATGACTCTGACTCTGATTCAATGATTCATGAGTAAGCCACATGCCGTTCAAGGCAGTCAGAAAGTCTGTCTCAAGGCAGTTCAATAGCTGAAGTGTTAACCAGATAAGATTCGTTACCAAGCAACGACTAATAAGCAGAGGATTATTTTGTGTGTCATAGTTAGAGTAATCTTTAGAATGTTATAATTATTTGTAGTTACGACTTGTGAGTATCCAACAGATCTATTCATCTAATCAAGAACCCATTACTATCAATCACGCCAACAAGGAATACGTGACAATATCGATAAATATTTTTATCACATTTGTTAACTAGTTAAACTTACTTCAGTGTATCAGGATCTAAGAAATGTCTGTTATGTGGATTGCTCCCCTTTGATCTGGTTCCATTATACCAGCAGAACCACTCACCTGCGAAAGAAAACAGTGTATAATTATAACGTAAAGTTGCAGACAAGAGCAGCTTCTAAAGAGCATCTTTCGTCAGGCGCTGACTCAGGCCTCTGAGTCGGGCGCTCCCACCACACCTAATGTAGCGGGTCAGCTTAACGGTTGCACTGGCTAGAAAATTTACTGCGTATTTGAAATGAGCGTATTGTAATTTCAAAAATGTTATTGTCATTACGTATAGTAATTTATCACAGAAACGGCTGTTGCGAAGCCTGTCATGCCACATGAGGGTTAACACTGTGTACTTATAAGCGTATGCTCATTGCATTCCGTTAAATTCAGGCATAATATCATGGATGATGAGTATATAATTACTTATCTCGCTCAGTGGAACAGATTTGCTTGTGGAAAGTTAGAAGAATAGAAAATTCTTCACCCTACAGCGGTCTGAGTTCGAGTCCTGGTAGGGTCAAGAATTTTCTCTTCTCCAAGTTAACCAGACCGGCTCCGGGGCCCACCCAACATCCTATCCAATGGATACTGGGGGCTCTTTTCCCGGGAGTGAGGCGATCGGAGTGTGAAGCTGACCACTTACCTCAAACTAGTGCCGAGGTCAAGAAAATGTGGATCAATACATCCACTCCCTCATACGTCTTCATGGCGTAGTATTTAATTAGTTAACCACAGGGACCTTACCTTTTTTATCGCCTTACTGTCTATATTAGAACAAAATACAGATCACCATCTGAGTATAGTCAGTTTATTTCCTTGAACTGAACATTTCACCAACCAAGAAACACGCCAAAACAGCATCTCCAGACGAGCAGGAGACAACAACGTGAACGTAACACAACATGCTGCAATTAACTGAATTAAAATATGAGGCGCACGCGGTAGCGTAGTTCGTTGAGGCACTATGCTACAAGCCGGAAACTCGCGGGTTCGATTCCCGATAAGGTCATTGGATTTTCAATTGACTTAATCCTTCTAGCCGCACTATGGCCCTGGGGTCGACTCAGCATCTAACAGAAACGAGTACCAGGAATCTTCCTGGAGGGTAAAGGGCGGCCGGCGCGTAAGACTGAAAACCCTACCACCATCTGTGAGCCGACTGTCTCGAAAATGTGGGAGCCTCGACGTCTCACAACCCTATGGACCTCCACGGCCTGTTACAGGATAGTTTTACCTTTCCTATATGTCTATATGAATTTTAATATAATGTGTGATATGAAGAGCCATTGCTAGGGAACGAGCCTTACTTAATACATTTTCGACTGAGACGTTTTAAATCCTTTAAAAAGGTAAAACTATCCCTGTAACAGGCCATGGAGGCCAATAGGGTTGTAGACGTTGAAGGTCCCATATTATCTAGACAATCAGCTCACAGATGGCGGTAAGTTTGTCAGCCTTACGCGCCGGCGGCCCTTTACCCCCAGGAAGATTCCTAGTACTCCTTTCTGTTAGAGGCTCAGTTGACACAAGGGCCTTAGTGCGGCTGGAAGGATTAGGCCAACTGAAAAAAAAAAATCGACTCCATGGGGACTCGAACCCGCGACCTTCCGGCTTGTAGCATAGTGCCTCAACCAACTACGCTACCGTGTGCCCCTTTACATCCTTTAAGATTTTCATAATTCTAACGTTTTCCTTCAATATGGTTACACCCCATGGAAATGGTCCTACATGACCGAAATATCTCGGGGTTTTAACAACATGTAATCAATGCAAGGAAATAAAGTAGACATGAGTGGATGGCAATTCGAAGTTGTTCTAATTTTGTCATTCTGTCACTTAGGGCAGTAGATCAGAAACACCTGGAAAGCTTCGAAATGTGGTGTTGGAGAAGGATGGAGAAGATCAGTTGGACCGATTATGTGAGAAATGAAGAAGTGTTATTTAGAGTCAGTGAGCAGAGGAATATCCTACACGAAATAAGAAAACGGAAGGCTAATTGGATTGGTCATGTTTTACGCAGAAACTGCCTTCTAAAAGAAGTTATCGAAGGAAAGATAGAGGGGCGGATAGAAGTGACAAGAAGACGAGAAAGAAGACGTAAGAAGATGCTGGATGACCTTGGGGACAGAAGAGGATATTTTCATTTGAAGGAGAAAGCTCTAGATAGCATCAAGTGGAGGAACTGTTTTGGAAGAGACTGTGGACCTGTCGTCTGACAGATTACTGATGAATGAATGAATGTAACGCTTTGTGACACCATGCCAGTATTATGCTGGACAATGTTTATTGCATGAGGAGTAACGGACACGTGCGACAACTCGGAATGGCCTCTACTTCCATCTTTATTGACTGGTTGTCATACTGACATATTTTGTTAATCTCTTAAGGTCAGAGGCGACTGTTGTAACCCGTGATCAGATACGAGGACAATAAGTTAATAGGTTTCATTGTACAAAATTGATATTGAATTTCATCGAAATCGGTTTAGTATACGTAGTTTCGGAGGGATAGGGCCCCTTAATGAAGCGTCCATTTCGTGAACTGCAAGCTTAGAACCGCTTCTGTAGTTATCTGACGGCGGAGCAGATCAATATGGCCGATGACACATCATGACTCAAGGAATGGGACAAGGACTGTATTCCCTTACAACAAAGTGCACAGCAGAAACGTTACAGTCTGGGGAGACAACGAAGCCACAAGGACGTGGCTTCTTGCCTTTCCATTACCGAGACCTGGCTGCGTTCTAAACAAATAAACCTATGTTCAGTTTAGTCTGCAAAGCAAAGTTTATGAGCTAATGCAAACATAGTACTGTACTTGTACAGCTGTCTATTCGTGAAGAAAATAGTCCATTGGATAGTCGAAAAATATCCGTCTTTTATGGACTATCTTAAGACAGATAAGTTAAATTCCACACCCACATTCCCTGTTGGTTTACGATTCCCAAGTGGTATAGTATTCTGTTCATCTACTGCGTGCTACATATCCCTCCCATCTCATCCCCCTTGACACTAGCACCTTAATACTATTTGATAAATTGTACAAATTATGAAGCTCCTCATTATGCCTATTTTTTCACCCTTCTGTTACTTATTTTTTTCCTTGGCACTACAGCCCCAGTGGGCCTAGGCCTACCTCCACGAATTTCTCCGTTCACTTCGGTTTTTCTAGATCTTACACTTTCGGTAGGACTCCTTGGACGGGTGATCAGCTCGTCGCAAGGCCTCTACCTGTACACAAACACAGAAAAACACACACAGAAACTAAACATCCATGCCCTGAATGGGATTCGAACCCACGATCCCGGTTTCCAAGCGAGCGAAGACAGTACATGCCTTAGACCACTCGGTCTTATTTATAGTCTCTTAAATCTAAACATTTTTTATCCTACTTTCGTTATTTTGAAAAAATAAAAATAAGATTATGCGATCATCATGCTCTCTGTGTGTCTGTATCCCACTTTTGAATGCCGAAAAATAAGCTTTATGAAATTTGGTATGCATATCATGGCACCAGAACCCATCACAACGGCGTGCTTCATAAATCCCTCTCATCAGTCTGTGTCCATATGTGTTCAGTATAATCGTGCCAGTTTCTGCAATGGTTTATACGTTTTCAACTACGGAATGTTTTTAAATGTCCATTTATGTTTTTATTGAGAATTCGGATGGACTTTGTTGGTTCCGTTACGGGTTTAAGAAATTTAATCTCATCTGTTTCTACTCATTTTCGTTTGTTCATGGGTAGAATCCAACATTGCGATTCATGGAGCAACAGGGTCACAGTAATTCCTAAACAGAATTTTAAATATCCTCTATTCTTGCTTTACCTAACAGCGCTCCTTCTCATCGTAGCACGAAAATAATGGAAATCGGCAAATTTTAGATCCAGTCAAGTAACGAAAATTATTTTTTGTTCAAAGATTTTATCCTTAATTTCGATTTTCCTTCTTACGGGGCCTCCCCAGTAAGAAGATAAAATTTCCCTTTTGTCTGTTGATGTTACTGAATTACAATTACTGTTATCCTGCATAACATTGAAGGGCAATTCACTCTGCGGATATCCCGAATTATTAATAATTAAGAATCATATAGCCGGTCACGGTAGCCGAGGGGTCTGAGGCATGTACTGTCTTAAGGTATGGATGTCTGGTATGTGTATTGTTTATTCTTTGTCCTGTGTTTAGGTAAAGGCCTTGCGACGAGCTGATCACTCGTCCAAGGAGTCTTACCGTCTATAAAAATTATCAAAATAAAAAAAACCTCGACATTGTGAGGTAAAAGAGAAACGGATTAAGTAAGTAAGTAAGCATCACAAAATAAAAATGAGAATTGGCAATACACTTTGAAATACTGATCCAATACTTGTCTGCCAGGCTCGCGCTATTCCTGCAGTTGCTGCCATGTGTCTACAATATTCACAGACACGGAATGTCCTGTCGGTCTGTGTCTCCAGACGGAGGCAAACCAGCTCCATCATCCCCCCCCCCAACCCAATTATCTACCGAGTTCTGTTCCGCCAAATTTCGGCAAGTTATTGCGTGATTCATCATTATTAATTCGGGGCCTCAGTCGAGAGAAGCTGTCTGTAGGTTATCGTGACTTCAGCGATTACGACACTGTCGTCTCGTGACATGTTTGAAATTATTGATTTTCTTTCATCATGGATGTCAAATAGACATATTCCTCAATAATGAAAAATATCCATCATAATACGTAATTGTATAATGAATTAGTTAAAGATATCCCTGTAACTGGTCGTGAAGGCCCATAGGTCTGTGAGACGACGATGTTCCCACATTTTCAAAATCGGCTCACAGATGGTGGTGAGGTTGTCAGCCTTACACGCCGGCCGCAGTTTACATCCCAGGAAGATTCCTGGTACTCATTTCTGTTAGTGTCTGAGTCGACCCAAGGGCCATAGTGCTGCCGGAAGGATTAGGTCAATTAAAAAAATCTACCTCATCAGGACTCGAACCCGCGACCTTCAAGATTGTAGCATATTGCCTCAACCAACTGCAAT